TCTCTCTCTCTCTCTCTCTCTCTCTCTCTCTCTCTCTCTCTCTCTCTGTGTGTGTGTGTGTATTAAGTCCAGATTCTATGGCCTCTTGCATAGCTTACTTAGTTTTATGCAGGTGAGTTGATATGTAGGTAGGTTAACTGTAGATGGTCACCTAGCCCTCCTCTCTTCCAATTCCAATTCCCAATTCTCATTCCAAGCTCTGCAACACAACATCTACTGCAGCCTTGCCTCTCTACCCTTCATCTCCAGTTCATCCCACAAATCCTCCTTTCTAAACTTTCTTCTCCACACCAATTTACTTTGTCCTAGCCCTCAACTCCAGCAGTCTCTCCCTGGGGATCCACAGGCCACTCTTACAAGGGAAGTAATTAGGCTTCCTGCCTTCACTGCAGACCTTCACCTCTCCTTCCATTCCTCCAGGTCCAATTCCTTATTCTCATCCCCAGCTCTAGAAAGACCTCTTGTTGTGGTCTTTCCTTGATCTCTGCCAGCATTCCCAGGGGACTAAGTAGGTCCTGGTAGAAAACCTTGCTTTGCTCCCTTTTGTGAAGCTCCTATACTGCCACCGGCCCATTCCCCATTAGTAACTGTCAGGTCCCAATACCTGGAAACACATGTTACATGGAAATCCTAGGGCCCACAGCTATCAGGAACCCCAGAAGATTTTCCTGCAGGCAACACAAGAATCAGAGACAAGAAACAAAGGAACAAAAAATCCCACCCAACAAAACCAAGACCAAATATCAGAACCTAGAATTTCAGTCTTCTTAATCCCAGATGCCAAGATAATCAGCATAAAAACATAATTAATAACAGCTAGTACAATATGTTTGCACTAGAGCCCAGCATCCATAGCACATCAGGCCCTGAGTATTCCAATACAGATGAAGCCCAAGAAAAACACAACAAAACAGCCTTTGGGCAAAAGATAGAGGTCTTTAAAGAGGAAACAAAGAATCCCTCAAAAAAAATTCAGGAAAACACACACAGATGCACACACACTAAAGAAATGATGAAAACCATTCAAGGCCTAAAAGTGGATATAGAATCAATAAAGAAAATCCAAACTGAGGGAAACCTGGAAATAAAAAATTTAGGAATTTGAACAGAAATCACAGAGGCAAGGTTTCACCAACAGA